GGAGGGGGGACAGGACCGAACCCTGCGGCACCCCATATTTGGGGGCCTAGGGGTCGATCTCTATCCCCCAACCAACACCGACTGCGACCTGTCCGAGAGGTAGAGGAGAACCACCGTAAAACGGTGCCTCCCACTCCCACCTCCCGTAACCGTCACAGAAGGATACCATGGTCGATGGTATCGAAGACTGCTGAGAGGTCAAGAAGCACCAGCATAGAGGAATGTCCTCTATCCCTGGCCCGCCAGAGATCATCGGTCAGCACGACCAAAGCAGTTTCGGTGCAGTAACCAGGCCTAAAACCCGACTGAAAGGGATCCAGATAATCTGCTTCATATGGTGTAGGTCATGTGGTTGTCAAACGTCTGACAGACCATTATGCAAGATATAGGTAGTATTGCCATAATTATGAACATCTGACCTTAATATAGGGCAGCCTTCTATAAACTAGAGAAAAGCAGCTTTAAGTGTCATTCAAAACTGTACATTATGGATGCTGACATTAGTAAAAACAAATGTTTTATTCCATCAAAGTTACGTATCATACCACATGACTTAATTCCTCATAACGGGCATTGAAAACTTCCAACTTTTCACTGATGATTTCATCAAGGATGCCTCCATCTATCAATGTTTGGCCAAGCTCCCGAATTTGAGTCCGATTGTCAGCTGGATGGCGCAGAATGGATTCCAGTGACTAATGAGAAAAAAATTAAACCAAAATGTAGGCACTTGTTTTCTAACATACTGAATGTAGCGCTCTGACATTTTAAAATTGGAAAAAATATCATGCAGAAAAAACACACATTTACATACAGTGTTGGAGGACTCACTTTGCCATTAAGAGAACAATGAAACATATGGCATCTTATCACCCTAAAACAGTTATGGAAATTATGGACAAATACATCAAAACAGTGGAACCCATAAAAACAACTAAGAACTCTACCAAAACAAAAAGAGCAAGAGGAAATAAAATCATCAGATGACAGCAGAATCAGTGCAATGTAAACTTGAAAGCAGATGGGAAAAAAATGTTAGCTTTTTTTAATGTCTTCAGAGAATAAAAAGGAAGGAAGGAAGCATCACCAATGAGAATGCACTCTACAGCAAAAGGTGGTGCTGTTTGTGAAATCTCCAGGTACGATGGAAACAAACATAGGACCTCTTCTGGTTAGGGTTACCAGCACTAGGCTGCAAAAATCTAAGGGACAATTAGATGTATATATCTCTTTACTGCCATCTAGCAGCCATCTAAATGTTAGAATTCCCAATCCCATATTTCTGTCTGAGCGGAATAGATATTATGAAAGAACAAATCCAACCTGAAATTTTCTGCACATGAAACATTTAAGAAAAACTGTCACTCTGAAGTAACTACAGAAATATTCTAAGGAATCCTTTCAGTTAACCATGGATAATAAACAGTTGCCTGGCTAATATATTCTAACTACAGTTTCTGAAACACCTTCAAAAAGAGATCTATGTAGAACATATTGCCATAGCCTACTATAAAAACCAGTGAACTACTGAACAATAGAAGCCGAGAGTTTATTTTATATGCATTAGTGCACCAGTCAAAGCAAGTCAAAAGATTTCCAATTAGTCAATATAATCACCAAGATTTAAAGCGTCCTTAGAAAACTTTTGTCTCAAGACAAAAGTTACTGTATCATTTTTTTAAAAAAAATCATGTACTTCACCATCACATTTCAAAGAATAAGGAAAGTAGTCAGTACAACAAAAGTTGCAATATTTTGCAAGATCACCATGTGTTGCATAGAAGTTCAGTAAAGGTTTCTGGTTTGTATTTGTTGTTAACACCACAGCCAAAAATACCAATGTTTCAAAATATGTTTATACACTCAAAAGTGTTCACTAGGAGTGGGAGAGAAAAAAAGATGGGAGGCACAAAACACACATTCAAAAGGAGGGAGGGGTCTACATAGGAATGTTGCATCTGATATTTTGTCCTTTTTTTGATCTTTGATCAAAGATCGGAGACTGCAAACACCCCTATTTCTTTTAGTTCAAATAAGATTTTTTATTCATATGGTCCTCATTGATGCATCCCCCTCTTTTTTTTCCATTTGCATGATATTCCTGTTAAATCAGGAGTGATTTAGTGTTGCCTTCTCTTGCCATCTTGAAAGGTAATGATAATTTAATAGCTGACCAGCTGCTTTTAAGGCTGTAAACTGAGATGATACAATGAGAATGAGTCAGCAGGGTTATCACTTTAAGAGGCTGTCTATATAAGAGAGGCCCTGTGAGGACAGTCTCTCTCTCTCTCTCTCCATGTGTGCTTCTGTGTTATAGCTGAAGACTGATTGATTGCCTGGATTTGTCTAGTATATATACACACTATATTGCCAAAAGTATTTGCTCACCCATCCACATAATCAGAAGCAGTTGTGAGCGAATACTTTTGGCAATATAGTATATACTGTATGCCTTGTAGATAAACCACTGTTTGAAAGACAAAACCTCTGTGTACTGTATTTTGCTCTTGGGTTGTCTCAAAATAGTAGTCACACTGTGCACACTCCAACATAAATCAACCCCCCAAAAAAACCCCTTTCAACAGGTCTAAGTTCCATCCACGTCTACAATCACTTAAATATTATACAAAATGAGGAAATGTCATTGTATTTAAAGGGGGGAAAGTCTTCAGTTAAAAAAAACCTTCAGTTTTAAAAAAAAACCTAAAATTTGCATAAGCTACTTATTTAGACTATCCTTTGTACCTCAAGGGCTTCACTGACAGCATCTATTTTTTCTGGCAAGTGTTCAATTTTTTTCATCTTCTCTTCCAAAGTATTCAGCCAGGCTGCTTCTAGGTCCAGATAGTGTAGTAGTTCAATCCAACAAGACCATACTTCCTGAAAAGAAAGAATATATGAAAGAAGAAAAGACTCATTCTATTTCACAGGTTGGTTCCTTTCAGTCAACTGATAAATCTATTTCTTAAGCTTTATGTAGATTTTCCAGAGTATATTGTTCATCAACAGCAATGATTTCTAGAACTACTCCAGATAATTTACAAGTTATTGCCTAACAATGAGACAGATACTTTCAATTCACTCAGCCTCAGGTTGCTCAACTCACATAGTGTATCTCCAATGCCAATTCCAGATGCTTGCACTATAGCACTACATACAATATCAAAATAATGGGATGGTATGTGACAATGTAGATAACAGATGCTGCATGAAAAAAAATACAATTGGAGACAATAGCCAGTAATAGTTTCCTAACTTTAGAAGCAAAAATGTATCCTTCTTATACCTATTATATATTTCTTTCTTTATATATTTACTTGAATCAATAATAGAGAATTTTCTAATTCACCATCTTAAACATAACCCACAATTGATTTGGATCATTTTCCAAAATTTGTTCCAAAGCAAGTAATGTATATGCCCAAATGTGACTAAAATAGAAAACTGAGTTTAAGAACTTAACTTTATCCTGATTTGCAGCTACAAAAGAATTAAATAAGGGGCCTGACTGCACAGTTGCTATTTCACATTGCTATCAAAAGTATTATAGGAAATATAAGAATGCATATAAAAGTTAAACATACCTGAAATACTTAGTAGGCAATATATAATTCATAATCACTATATTGATGGAATCTTAATATATGCATTCCATTAGCTATATATTTATCATCCATATATTCCTGGATTTTTATTGACATTTTAAAATCAACAAAAAATAGTGCACTAATTTTGGAGCCACTATTTGACCTTTATTTACTTGCAATAAGAAATGGCTTCTAACTAATGAGAAGTAACTACTATCCTTTACTATTTAAAAGCAGTGTTAACATATGTGTGAGGCTTAAAGTCAGTGTTGAGTCCTGGAAAGTGCCTACAGTTTTCTTGGCAAAATTTCGCAAGTAGTTTTGCATTTGCCTTCTTCCTAGTGACTGACTCAAGGTCACCCAGCTGGCATTATGCCTAAGGCAGGACTAAAACTGACAGTCTCCTGGTTCCTAGCCTGGAACCTTAAGCACTATGTCAACTGGCTTTCTAGGAAGCTGCAAAATATCTAGAATTAAGTATATAATAAAAGAGTTTTGAGTTTTTACATTAAATAAGTTGCTCCTCTAACAATGTCCCCCATCCCCAACTTTTAAGTATAGAGCAAAAATACACCATGATTTCTTTTAAACTTTGGAAGTATAAACTTCTGACTTAAACATTGGTGTTGAGGGCAGGAAGAATTAGAATAGAATAGAATAGAATAGAATAGAATAGAATAGAATAGAATAGAATAGAATAGAATAGAATAGAATAGAATAGAATAGAACAGAACAGAACAGAATAGTTGGAGGTTTTCTAGTCTAACCCCCTGCCTAGGCCGGAAACCCTACACCACCTCAGACAAATGGTTGTCCAATCTTTTCTTAAAAACTTTCAGTGTTGGAGCATTCACAACTTCTGGAGGCAAGTTGTTCCATTGATTAATTGTTCTAACAGTCAGGAAATTTCTCCTTAGTTCTAGGTTGCTTCTCTTCTTGATTAGTTTCCATCATTGCTTCTTGTCCTGCCCTCAGGTGCTTTGGAAAATAGTTTGATTTCCTCTTCTTTGTGGCAGCCCCTGAGATATTGGAACATTGCTATCATGTCTGTACTAGTCTTTCTTTTCATTAAACTAGACATACCCAGGTCCTGCAAGCATTCTTCGTATGTTTCATATTTCAATTAGTTGTGGATCATACCTCCAAAGTGTGGCATTTCCCTCTGATCCTGTTGCACAGTAGCTGGTAATTCTCCAATACAAGGTTGAGCTCTGTTGTTAAGTCCTGACCACCAGATGGCAGTTTAGCAGCTAGCATTTTGATGCTGTCTTTCAGAATTTTCACCCTCACTTCTTTCTGTAGCACATCTTCCTTTGCTCTCTGCCCAGAGAAAGCAAATAAGGACCAAACTAAATTGCAATCACTGCACTAACAATGGAATCTGACCTAATAGTTTAAATACTGAAATGAATTGTTAACACTGTATTTCATATGTGCAGAGAAGCGATGCAATCCATGTCTATGGAGAGTCTCAGTCATCCAGGTCACGATTGTTCCAAAGGTGCTTTTTCAAGAAGCAACTGGACTTTCTGGTTTTTCTTTGAAGATGATTCACTTCTCATCCAAGAAGCTTCTTCAGCTCTGACTGAAGCGAAACAACTTCAAAGAAAAACCAGAAAGTCCAGTTGCCTCTTGAAAAAGCACCTTTGGGATGCAATCAGGGGTGGGTTGCAGCCGGTACGCCCCGGTACGGGTTACCGGAGCCTGCTGAGAGCAGCAGGCACCACACCGGAACAGTGCTGCAGAGGGCCACCTGCCCTCCTTTCCTATATTTGACCCAACTGGGCAATTTGCGCATGCACACACAGCGTGCGGCGTGCAGCGCCTGCATGATGCTCCGCTGGAGCATCGCAGGGCGGTGGGTGTGCATGCGTGCACAGCACACATGCACGTGGTAAATGCCCAGCCCCGTGGCAGCATAGCGGTTGAGATGGGATCTGGAACCCACCACTGGATGCAATCCATGGCTCTCAAGACATTTCACTTGAGGTTCAATCATATTTTATCTATTTATGTTTATAAGCCACCCAATGGACAATGTAATAAATATAATGCATTTATTATTTATTCTACTAGTTGCCTACCATATTTATGACCTTCCTTGGCACACAAATGGATTTCATCTCTAAAGATATTGTGTTGCAAACTGGTTTATATTAATCTGGTTGCATGAAGTCAACTCATCCCAAAATAAATACTTACTATGCATAAAGATTATTGTCTCAAAATTCCCAATTTATATGGACAACAATAACTAGTACATTTTTAAAAAAAACCTTTCAGATTGCATATATTTCTGTGGTGTAATTTTTAATAATTTTACTACAATCAAGAGTACTACAACAAGTTTCTCATTCTATTGAATGTGACTTTTTCAAAATAAATAAATAATTTTTCAAACACCAAGGTCATGCTGACTAGCAATTCTGACAGTTGCAAAGTCAACATAACTGAGGAGCACAAGACTGGCAAAGGCTACAGAGCACTCAATTACAAAACCTTTTATAATTTAATAGAAAATGCCAGTGGCAATCCTGTCACTCAATTTAAAAAGCTGCCACATTTTCTAATGTTAAAAAAATCCTACAATCTGATTTAGTTTTTGATAGCCAGATTGATTGAAAATGTCCGTTCTTTACAATTTACCACAAGTTTATTAAAATTGTACTGCATAAAATGAACAAGAAATTTAAAAAGACTCTACATTCATAATAGCTGTAATTTTTTTCAAATGTATGTAAATATTAAATTTGTAATTTGCTATTCCCACTAATGCATCCTTCATATTTTCTCAGAGCTCAGAGAGCTGATCAGCCACTATTAAATTACAATTAGGCATATCATACAAATTAAATTAGGATACAAGCACATATAAAATTAAGCTAAGAGACCGCAGCATTGAAATTTCAAGAATAACCAAAATGGGCTCTGTATCCTTATCAGAGTTTCGAAGTGTTACATTCTCTTATTAAATCCACTCATTCTACATTCACTTTAACACTGTAAAATTAAAGCAAATGTCATTCCAAACTCCAGCCTCCTCTAATCTCACTATGTAGCAAATACTTCAACCAGTATTTGCTGATCAAACAGCAGTAGCCTGAAGCCATCTGGTCAAATTGCAGAGTACATGACAGGGTTATGCAGCAATCTGGGCTCAATGGAGAAAGAATATTCAGTGTGTACATTGCCAAACATATAATGTTTTTATATATTTTCACACAATGTAAGCTCTAGTAGAGACAGCGGACAAAATATGGTCTTATAAACATGTCAATAATCTGGATTAATTCATTTTCAACAGTTAAGTAGGAAGGATAGTCAGCTTCAAGCTGTTAAAAAACAAATCACTCTATTCTGAAAAACTTTCCAGAAAAGTATATCCTGATGTAAGAATATTAATAACAACAACTAATAAACACCCATATTTAGTGACTACATCATTTTTAAAATACAATTTAAGCTTTTCAAGTATTCCTGACCTTCATTTCTTCCACTGCATTCTCTAGCTCATCTGGATTCTTATATTCAAAATCTTTCTCCAAATATTCCTCTTCAGCCTGAGCCATCCATTCTTGCATTTCTGCCAAATCCTTTTTGAGATTGACAGCTTTTTCTTGATTGTCCGATAATTGATTTTTATGGCTAATGATCTAGCAATTCAAACAAAACAACATAATGCGGACAGCATTGTTTAAACATATTATTTAAAGAGTACTGTACAACTAATGAAAGAAAAACACGATCAACAGAATGGTGGAAGCTATTTTGCGATGAGAACATTCTCCTTTTTTTTCAGCAGGAAACCTAGGAAATAACATTTTATAGTTACAAGAATTGGCAAATATACTTAATGTGGTTTTGCTTAATTTTTAATGCTTTACTGTTCACATTAAAAAAACCATGATGATGGCTATGGCAGTGATGGTGATCATGGTCATCATGAGGGTTTATAATATATGCTAGCAGCAGTGAACTAGCAATGGATTCTTAGACTTAAAAAAAAACTTTATTGTCACTTTAAATGCACACTAATCGGCATACATTTAAAATGAAATTTTGTTGACCTACAGCTCTCAAAGGGTCACCATCTCCAATATACACTACATAAACATGACAAAATAAATAATACCCACATAACCACACATATCATATGACACTAGGGACGTGCAGCCAGGGGAGGCAGAGCCTCACCACTGTCATCATGAAAAGAAAAAAAATGTAAAAGGAAAA